AGTATTATAACCTGAAAAACATTAAAAAAAAAAAAATCTTCTCAAATTTTCTTCTTTCAGATCTAAAACCTAATCCATTACTTAAATGTGAGTGTTTGAGCAGTCTTATCACAGAAGTCCTTGCTCTGTTTCGTGTTTGTGTTTTGCGTAGACAGATGGCGTTGACTTCTGCTTTGGAAAATACCAATGCAAGAATGGCTGTTACTTTTGGGGGCAAAAATAAGACCAAGACAATGGATTCTGAGCACTCAGAGGATTTCTATGAACCTTTAACTGAACATCAGGGCGAGAGGAGTAGAATCTCCAAGAAATATGTTGTCTACACTATTTTCGCATCTCTGAACCAACTCCTTCTTGGCTACAGTAAGTGTGTTCTGCCTTCATCTGTCCATAGAAGTATTGGTTATAGCTTCTTTTGTTACTGTCGTTTCCATGACTACTATATCATCTGCTTTCTTTGGTTGCTTATGACTTCTCTGTTTTCTCTATGGGAGTAGCTGAATTGATTAGTGGTTCTTCATGATCTTTTTACTGCCTAAAATTAACAGGAGGAGAATAGTTAACTTGAAATCCTTCAGATGTTTTAATATGTGCATGGATATTGTTTCAAACAAATTTCTTCTTTTGTTCTAACATGTTCTACAGTATGTTTTCCCATATGATATTTTCCCTGAATGTACCAGTTAAGGTCAGTGGAAAAAAATTATATTTACTTCAAAAATTCTATTTGCTATTGCTTTGATCTAAAGATTAAAAGTGGGTAATTTATTAATTAGATCTAGATCATGTTGATGACTATGAAAAAAAGGAACAAAAAAAAGAAAAAAGATGACATTGATGCAAAGTGACTTACTCTTTTCACTGTGCAGATGTTGGAGTGATGAGCGGGGCAATCATATTCATACAAGAGGATTTGAAGATAACTGACGTTCAACAAGAGATTCTTGTTGGAATCTTTGGCTTTGTTTCTCTATTGGGCAGTGTGGTCGGCGGAAAAACATCAGATTTAATTGGTAGAAAGTGGACATTGGCCTTAGCTGCTCTGCTCCTTCAACTTGGCTCAACTATCATGGCAGTTGCAACTTCGTTCCAAATATTGATCCTAGGAAGACTCCTGAGCGGGGTTGGCATGGGCTTAGCAGTCATGATTGCTCCAATGTATATTGCAGAGATATCACCAGCTGATGCTAGAGGCTTGCTTACGTCATTCCCGGAGGTTTTCGTAAATGTAGGAATCTTGCTCGGATATGTCTCAAATTATGCATTTTCTGGTCTTTCGGTCCACATAAACTGGAAGATAATGCTGGGTCTAGGGATTTTGCCTTCACTCTTCATTTGGTTTGCACTATTCATCATCCCTGAATCACCAAGGTGGTTGGTAATGCAAAACAGTGTAGAAGAAGCAAGATCAGTGCTGCTAAAAACAGGTGAAAATGAAGCAGATGTGGAAGAGAGACTCATGGAAATACAAGAAGCTGCTGGAATTAGTGATGATGTAGATAAGTACGCTGAAAGATCCGTTCTGCGTGAACTGTTAATTCCTTCTACTTCTGTCAGAAGGATGCTAGTTGTTGGACTTGGAATCCAAGCATTCCAGCAGGTAACGGGAATAGATGCAGTTATGTATTATAGCCCTGAAATTTTCAAGGATGCTGGTATTGAGAGTAACTCAAAACTTCTTGCTGTAACTGTTGCTGTGGGTGTCTCAAAAGCTGCCTTTGTATGGGTTTCAACATTTCTCACAGACAAACTTGGGAGAAAGCCCCTGCTCTATGTGTGCACAATTGGAATGACTTTATCTCTGTCTACAATGGGCTTTACTCTTGCTCTACTGGGAAAAGGGCAGGTTGTGATTGCATTGGCAATTTTATGTGTTTGTGGTTATGTTGCATTCTTTTCTCTGGGACTGGGGCCTCTTTGTTCGGTTGTGACATCAGAAGTGTTCCCCTTGAGGTTGCGTGCTCAAGCATCTGCTCTCGCAGCAGTAGTTAATAGACTGTGCAGTGCCTTTGTTGCCATGTCTTTCCTCTCCCTTGCACAAAAAGTTACAGTTAGCGGAGCATTCTTCATCTATGCTGCGCTGTCGGTTCTTTCTGTTCTTTTTGTTCACACCCTTGTTCCAGAGACTAAAGGAAAATCATTGGAGCAAGTTGAGTTATTATTTCAAGATCAAACGGACTGTCGTGGAAGCAAAATGGAAAAGGGAGATTCGTCTGAGCATCTAGTTCGAAAAGCAATAGTAATTGGTGCTTAGGAAGTCCTCTTTTACACAAAAAGGGGTGCATTTCATATGATTTGGTGTATTATGAAGCTAAGCATTTTATGTTTTCGAAAAGTTATAGGCATGCAAGAACTGGATTGTGAAGGAAATTCTTCGTGCTGTCAGCCTTCGATTATCTGAAATTCAGGTTATTCTAATGGTTGATTTGTTTATACTTCTCCATGCGTCTATGGGATTTGGTTGAGTTGCGGTATTTAAAGTACGTTAAAATCTCAAATTGGTCCCCCAACTTCAAATTTTTATTGAAATTATCATTCAACTTCGAAAAGTACTAAATTGTCCATGAACTTTAATATTTTGTTATCATATTAGTTCTTGAACTTTGAATATAAATATCAGCTTAGTTTTTAAAATTTGAAAATAGGTACTAACTTAGTTTTTAAACTTTAATTATAAATATCAATTTAGTTTTTCAATTTTAATTATATTTTAATTTAATTTGTAAATCAAAATATATCACAATAGTAATATATAATTATTTAATTTTACATATCATTAATATTTTAAAAAAGAATTAATTTTGTGTTAAGATAATGAGTCATTAAGTACTTCTATTAACAGAAGAATTATTTTAGTATCAAAAATTAAAATTAAAAATAATTTTGATATTTTTTAAAATGAAAAAATAATTTTGACATAAATTTAAAAAATGAGAGATCAAATTAATATTTTAACCTTTAAAAAGTAAGGACTGGATTTGAAGTTGTTTAAGCTTCAGCACTTTTGGGTCATGTTTTGT